TTTTAAAGTTGTTTTGTGGATGAATATTTTGATATTAATATGTTTAATTGTTTTTAATGGTTCAATTAATTTTGTTTTTGACTTCCTATTTGTTTTAACTATTTGTTAAACAAACAGGAAATCCCTTCACTGGGAGAAAAGTGGCATAAAAAATGAAACAAACACACAAACAAAATTTGGCTGCATTCTGTTATTCCTCTAGGCTTCCTTCCCGAGTATTATGGAGAGTTTAAGCAAAATGTTGCCCTTGAGAATGTTACAGAAACAAATACAATAAAATGTGGAGTGGAACCTGGTTTACTTATCCTGAGAAAGCCCCTGTGCTATGATTAGCTGGCTGGGATGAAGAGAGGAAATGAGTTTGAAGAGGAAGTGCCTGACGATGTGATAAAGTATCTCAGCCAGCATTTCTCCTGCTTTTTGGTTCTGGAGTTGCCTCCTCCCAGGACTGTTCAGTGACTGCATAAACTCAGGATGGGCAACTGTTAGGGCCTGGTTGCCCTAAGTGAGCACTGCCAGACCCCAGACCAATCCTGCCATCAAATAAGTCAGCACAGTGTTCTATCACAAGGTTTCTGGTGTCATCGTGAGTTCCTGGTGTCATCTGTCGGAGTAATTCCAATCAGATCCTGACCAACCTTGAGATAGTTACTTTTGGAATTGCAGCTCCCAGTATCCCCCAGCCACCATGGCCATCACTCAGTGTCATCTTGGTTCCTATGTGTCTGGGCTTTGTAATAGTTTGCACGCAGGTCCCCCCCCACCCCGTGCAGACAGCTTCCTTTGCAGCATCTCACCTTAGGGATCACTCCCTCATTGTGACAAAGGTTATGAAATTCTGGAGGACACTGCCTTCCAGAAAGGCTTCTCTACTTCTGCCCTAAAGGATAAACATCATTACTCAGAATCATAGAACTACCATTTTGGTCCGGCTTTTACTGAGATGATTGAAATAGCTACCACAACTTCATCACTCACTTTTATGAACACTGCCATGGGGAAGCCCACAGCATCGATCTGTAGAGGCAGAATCCTTACCCTTGCCCAACAGTGAGTGGCAAATCTTGAAACGCACATGCTTAATAATGACAGTATAAGCATGTGGCTGCAATTCCAACAGAATTGTAAAACATAGACAACTTCATGGACCACCTATGAAAGCCAGTCCTAGCCATTTATTTCTCTCCCAGGAGCAGGGTCTTTTGCAAACCTAATGGGTCTCAATTGCCCACTCAGGACCAAGGTACTCCAAAAGACTTTGCAGAATAATAGGGACAGTGCAAAAGAACATATGATCCCCGTAGTGTGTGTCTGCATATGAATATCCCCCTTTTGCCCCTGGCTCTGCTTGTTATCTTGCCGGCAGTGTGCTGGGTCTCCCACCCTACAGGCTGCAGTAGTCACCAGCAGCCAACGGATGCATTATCAGGCTGTTTTCTGGATGCTACGCAAGGGTGCATTTTGCGGGAAGGAAAAGAAAAAGTGTAGTCCTCACAGTGCTGTTGCCCCCTGCTGGAAAAGGGGGCCCTTGTGTGATGTCGGGAACTCACCCATGAGTTAAGGAGGTTAGAAACAAGAAAGGGAGCAAAGGGTGACTCTCTGAATCCTGGCGGTTGGCACCGGCCGTAAGAGAATTCCCAGGCGCTTGACCTGACTTCCCCTGCTCAGGGCCAGCTCTTTGCCACCCAAGGCGAAAGGAACCCGAAGGGACTCCCCCCCATCTCCCCACACACACACACACAGATGGCTCTCCAATTAACCTCGGCGGCTGAATGTGTTCACAAAGCAAATCGCATAATCAAGGACTGCGAGAAGGGGCTGGAGAGCACAAAACAGCCCAGTGTCCGAGATGGGCAAAGGCTGGCTTTTCTTCGGGCGGGCAGCGCTGCTGTGCCAGCCGGGGAGAGAACCGTTCACAGAGAAGGGGGAGGAGGGAGAGGAGAGAAGGACCGCCCGAGGGCAGGAAGGAAGGCAAGCCGGCGCGGAGCGTCCCGGAGGGCATCAGAGCGGGCCGCGCCCTGCCCGGGTCAGCTTCCTAGGACGGTCCCTCTCCCCCTTTATCCGCCCTGCCCCGCGAGATCTGCCCGGGGAACTCTTTCTAGAGGACCCACTTCTGGGCTCTGTACAGCTTCAACCCCCCAGGCCCCGAGCGGACGGTGCCCCTTGGCCCGCCGGAGGGCTCAGAGGCTGGCCGGCTTCCCTAACCGGGGCTGTCCGGGACACCGGCGAGCCAAGGGACCGTGCCCACGTGCAGGCAGAGCGGAGCGCGTGCATCCCTTGCTCTTCGGCCGATCTCCACGTTCTTCCTTTAATTAAGGGGAGGGAGGGGGGGAGATGGACGGTCGGACGGGAAAGCGACAAGCGAACACTCCGCCTTCGGAAACGGGGCACGGAAGCGCCTCTCGGGCGACGGGGAGTCTCCGGCAGGCGCGCCCCAGCCGCGATCCCCGTCGGCGCTCAAGGAAGGGAGCCCCCCCCCCCCCCC